TCAATAAAACCAGGATGTTATGAACACAACTTTCACATGTATGTAGTTTGTTTAAAGCGAAAATATTAATATGTGTTTTATGCCCTTACAACCTCCTTAAGATAAAATACAGCAAGACCTAATGGCTCACTTTTTGAGACAAATAAACAGAATCCGAGAGATACTCACCAATAGAAAAAAAAAATATTGCATACCTTGGACATATCATGCACAACACAAGACACCAACGACTATAGCTAATTGTATTGAAGGAAGTATCGAGGAAAGAAAAGAAATAAGATGAAAAAACTTCGGAATATAAGGTACTGGACAGAGTCCAAAAATGTAGAAGACCTAATCCACATGGCAATGAATGGAGAAGAAATGAAAAATGTGGCGCGAATATTCATTAGTAAACATGTATGAGAAAAGAAGAAAATATTTAATGTTTTTTGCTTGCTATTTCATATAAAATATATATCGCACATTATTTTCGACTCCCTGTACTAATTCCAATAATTTTCCTAAAAAAAATATATATATATATTAATATTAATAATACTTACTAAATTCATTTAAGCTCAACCCAGTTGGTATAAATTTAATATCGCGTAATTTCATAATGTTAATAGTTAGCCTTTCTGCAGTGGGTAGATAGCTTACAGCTAACAAAATGTGGCCAAATTCCTAAAAAGTGTAATTATATACATATTATTTTTTTTAATTATTACTTCTCTATAAGAATATTATTAATATTATTGATACATGTTAAACAATCAATGATTATTTTGCAAATTAAAACATATTTAAGTTTATCCTTAAGGCGATGCTAAAGCTCCCTGTTTTACCACATTTCTATTCGGTGAAAAATCTCTGTATTGGATGTACGGATTGCAAAAGTATTATTACTTAAATTATAGTACGCATCAACAGGACCTCAGCTGCACTGGATTTTATGAGAAAATCGAAAAAAAATTAAAAATTCACTTACTTTTGGCTCGTACAGCTGTCACCTCAGATATGTATTTGCTTGATATAAGAGTTTTAGAGTCCATATCTTGAAAATAAGCATGCAGCTGAGGTCACATTATTGAAACGAACGATACTGAGTTTGTAGAACTAAGATTGAAAGTCTAGAAAAGCAATATTTCCACCGAATAGAAAATACGTGTATACTGATACTTTGCGAAGACTGGGACTGTCAACAGAGCCGAAATTCCGCGTAGCAATAGTTGCGCGGTCTTGCGATAGATGGTGCTGGCATATGTTAGATAAGAACAGACGTATGCGTTTGAGTAAGACAGAATGATATATATTACATAATATAATGTAAAAACTAAATCAAAGATGTCACCACTATTATCGAATTTGGAATTAAAAGAGTCTGTACTATCTACCTTGATTGAGTTGGGTAATCGGTTTAGCATCCCCTTAACTACTAAAGTATAATAAATTAAGAGAAATTACTATTATATTATTACAATTGTAAATAAATTGATATTAATTTAAGTAAAAAGATAAATAATTACACTCTTTCTTTATTTAAATGTTTTACTTTATATTGTGTATGATAAGTTATGTTTATTTTATTTTATTTTTTATCGTAAGTAATTGAGAAGATACAATTCTATAAATTAAACAAAAATAAATAAAGATATAAAAATTTCAGCAGTACCAATATTTTTATATAAAAGGAGAGACAAAATTTTCAAAGTTTTCATGACTGTTCGGAAATTGTTTTATTTCTATCTTCTTACATATTTTTCTTCTTATCGAAACTGAAAATTATCATGATAAAGGCGCTATACTAAAGGAAAAATTGGTACATTGATATAAAATTAATAAAATCTTTATTCACGTAATAAAAGCTTTATTTGTTTCGCTCTCAGTTATGCTTTGATAATTTAAAGACTGATTTAGAGTTAGATCAAGATAACATAAAATTATTATAATTGTAAGAGAGAGTGAGAATATTACGAAATATTTAAGGAAAGAGTTAAATAAACCGATGGATTATCAATTATAACAGAATTTTTATTCAAAAGATATTCCAGTTATTTGATTTTAAACTACAATTTTATTCCCCTATGATAGTGGCTAAGCTAGGCCGGTTCTATAACCCACTATGTGTTGCTTTGATTTGGTTTTGTTCCCCCTGTTTGAGAACCAATTATATCCAACCTTCTTAAATAGGCCACAGTATCTACGCAATAAATACGTGTATTCGATTTCTTCAGGGGAGGAGAGATCACACTTTTCACTTTCAATATCAGGCCTTAATGAGGGGATCCAAAAGTCGTCTGCATTACTAACTATAAATGCTATAATTTTTGTATATTTTACAATTACTTTTTTTATCTTTTACAGATTCGAAAATCCTTTTTCAGGATTAAAGTATACGCATTAATACGTGTCTGTGAGGTCGACTTTATATCAAAAACGAAAAAAAATCATTTTAATTGAAATCAATTCTTTATCATTTCTTAATTCAATACCCAGTGAGAAATCACAAGGAAATCGATGTGGAATCGATATCAATTTGATAATTTCTCGTCGATTCGATGTAGATTCCATTATCATTTCTTACTGGATATGGTGTCAGAACTGTCAATATCGTAATAACTTATTTGATATAAAAGCTTGATAATCTGTACTTACAAAATTCTGATTCACAGACTATATATAGTAGTTTACACGACATTGTGGGGAATTCTTGGGAATTAGACTTAGACGTCTAATTAAAACATTATTGTTCTACGAAAATTTATGTATACCTATGCTTGAGATATTGACACATGATATGTTGACATATCGCATTTCATCACTAAAACAGTGATCTCGTCGGAGTTCCGGCTTTATTTTAGAATCCCCTGTCACAATATAAAATCAAAGAGATGTAGACACTGGTCAAATTATTTTAAAATTAATTCTCATATATTGTGATTACTTAATATGATGAAATTGAAATGAAATTTGATAGAAATGTTTATTAAAGCATCACTCAACAACTAACAGGAATCCGAATTAATTTACAAAAAAAAAAGATTGTAGGTACTACATTTAATTGTACAATCAAAATGTTAAATAATTAAGAACAATACCCGAACGAGCAATGAATTTGATGTAATTTTTCGCTTCGGGTGAATATTTGAATGACATACTGCAAAATTTTAATTCATTACACGAAAGATTACAATTGGAATTTACATTTGGAATTAGTAATGATAATTTACTGAGTTTTTTAACAATTATTATTAAAAATTGGGAAATCATTGTAACGATGCACATCGTTACGAAATCTTTTTGTTGCGGTAGCCCTCGATCACCCACATAGGGCACGATGCGCTCGCCGACCTGCCCGGCATATTACATACGCGTATGGAAGGGATAACATGGTGTGCGCAGTGTCTCTTTCTATGTAAATCTCTGCCTTCTCTGTCTATGGACCGTTCGCAGTGTGAGTGGGCTACCAACTGTGAAACGCTAAACATGGGGCGGTATTCATAGTTCGTTTTTATTTTACAACTGTCTTAATAATGCGTTACGATGTTAATACAGTCCTCAAATTGACTTATGACATCTTAAGATTGTACTTAAAACAATCTTAAATACAAGAATCGACTATGAATACCTGTTTCGCGTCGTGAAATTGATACTGAATCTTTCCTTGTTTTATATACTTTATAATGCATCTTATGTTCTCTTTCTAGAAAGAGGAACATAAAGGGTGCGTTCGGGAAGTCGCTATTCGCGCTATTTAGCGCTACAAACTGTTCACGGAGCCACAGATAGCGCTAAAAAACACGATCATGACGTCACTAATGGTAGCGTGTTACGTCACAACTGTGCGCTATCAACGCTATTCCTTCCGAGGTAGTGTATTGATAGCGTTAGCGTTTACAGATCCGTGAACGGCCCTAGCGTAGTGTTACTAACGTTTAACATTCGTCAAGGTTAAATTAATGTTTGAGGAGATTCTGTTCTCGAGTGGCACCAAACTCTTCTCTCTTTAGAATTTCGTAGAATAAACGTACGTACGTAACGTGTGAATTTCAAATTTTATCGTAGTGAATGCAATCTCAATTTCCATCTCTGCAATTGATGGCTTGCCTCTAGGTTGGAGTGAAGGTAATTCTTGCTTGTGTAGGGGAAAGTGGGCGAATTGTGCACAGCGGGTAATTATGCGCATCCAGGTTTGCCGATAGATGGAGACATCGCCGTGATGAAATTTTTACGCAGGAGGTCGTCCTCTTAAGTTATAACCACAAAAGGCATGACGTAAGTACATTGATAAACAGTGAAAGATAAAAAAGTGAAAACATACATTTTCTTGTTATTTCAGTATTCAGAAAATAAGGTGGTAAGTCCGTATTTTTAATTTGTTGGTTTAAAGTTGCATACGTTATTAAAGTACGTTATTATGTACGCCTTTCGACCCGTTATTTATTAAGTTTGGTTAACTAGTATTGAAGTAATCGTATTTCATATAGAGTCAGATCGTGGCGGGTAACTGTGCGCAGGCGGTTTGAAAAGCGCACAATTACCCATCTTCAATAGACTATATAGCTATTTTCTAGTATACACAAGTGAAACTGAATTTGAAGTGAGCTGAGTATTTTATACTCAGATTATGACGTCACTACTTGTTTACTTTTGTAAAAAGTTATTATATCACATGTCAACATAGATCCATAACCCCACTTTGGATTGATTTTACGAGACTCAGAGAAGTTAGTTTTATATTTTGGCTAAATATATATAATATATGTAATATATATTTATATTACAATGTTATAAATATATTTTATGATTTTTTCTTTGTCAACATTACATAATTCATTCAC